TTTGTTGTGCGTTTCATTGGCAAAGGTCAGCAGTGTTTGCGTGCTGCAGTTAATATTGTGCGAGGATCCTAGCCTCGCGGTTCACCCAATCCCAATTTATCCGCTGGCCTCTGTCCATCAGCCTTGGCCTCCTGACCGTCCCGTATCTTTTAATTGGCTCCATCACGCTGCCTCCTCTCCACCAATCAGATGTTCAGACGCGCTTTGGCAGCAGGTGGATGCTGCACCTCCGCTTTGAGTGCGGTTTATGCAAATGCAGCGTTCGTGTGTATTTTACCCCAATCGTGGCAGCAGTAATTTATCAAATGTGACCCTGCAGGTCCATCGACAAAAAAGGAATAGCTTACCAAAAAATAAAAATCCAGTTATCATTTACTCATCATTTTACTCATCACTTTTTTTCCTATATAGCATAAAGTAACTAATAAAGGTTTGTAACCACTTGTAAATAGTGCATAAGTATTTCAACTTTGGGTGAACTGTCCCTTTAAGTTGTGCTTATACAATAGCCTAAAAATCAGTGTATTAGTCAAAATTATTATTTCTTTTCTTTTATTTCTTTAATTTCTTTTGCCAAAAATTATTCTAATAAAGTTATATATATATATATATATATATATATATATATATATATATATATATATATATATATATTATTTTTTTTTTCTGTGTTGCTGAAATCAGCAGGATTACTTTGCTGTACACTTTTTAAAAAGTATTTAAACTGTTAACCTGAACACCAAACATACAGTACGGAACAGTAATGCGCGATTGAGGTAAAGTTTTAAGATTTGCACATTCGTTCAACTACAAACACCATTAAAACATCAAACCATCGATTTAAATTTGACCAAACAACAAACCATTCAATTTTAACCATTAAAACCAATATATTTTGTAATAAGTTCAGGTCTGTTTTGGCACAGATGCCACCAAATCACCAGTTTCAAACCAGGAGTTTACATTATAAATAAAATATATATGAAATCAGCAGGCTTACTTAGCCTTTTTACCTTTTAATGTATTTAAACTCTTAACCTGACCACTAAACAGTACAGAAGAGTGCAGTAATTGATTGAGGTAAAGTTGTTTTTTTTATTCGCACAGTTGTTCTGGGACAACTTGTGACATACTCCCTATATTGTTTACCATGAATATTCGGTCTGAAATCGCATAAGTATGACTTCAAAACAACATTAGCATCATTTATTGGACTGTAAACAATGTTGTACGTTGACAGTCATTGGCTGCTAAATGATTTCCCTATTCAGAATTTGCTCACAATACTTTTCTGAAATGATATTATTAAGAAGAAATGTGCAAATATAAACCAACTTTACCTCAATACTGCACATAACTCTCTCTCTCCCCACAGAGGAACAGAAAGCTAAAGGCAGCCACTTACTTGTGGTGTTGTATTTGACGCCGTTAATATACTCCGGACACGGTCGCTCAATGATTCGCCCGGAGTTGCTCCTTGGCCAGCAAGTTCCGATTTCATCCGTGGTGGCGTTACAATAGACACCTTAGAGGAGAACACAACCGGTGCTGATTAATGTGCATTAAAAGAGCTGAGTGAAACATAAACACAGAATGTAATCCCCCACCATCGACGCTCATCGACGCAAAAGACGAATTCTCGTATAAAGTGTCCTGAAAAGCGTCCAGGAGAGTACAGTTGAGGTCGCCGAATTCCTCAAGGAAGAACTGAAACAGGGACGCGTCCATGGTTTAAACGCGTTAGTTCGAGCGCAAATGAGGGATGGTTTTAAAGAAGGTAGAAAAAAATGAGGGATGAGTCTTCCTCCCTGGCAACTTGACACAGTTTTCGTCTTGGCTGATGACAAATGCGCCCTCACAGCGCCGCTCCAGCTAATCTCGGGATTGTTCTGAGCGCGCGCGTTCCATTGACAGAATGATGGTGATGTCATAATGGAATGTCAAGGATCAAAGCGGCCGCTGAGGAGATATTTCCCACTGAAGATAGGATTTTTGAGGACTTCCCGTTAACGTTGAAGTGCATCTATGGAATTAATATGATCAATGCTATTATTACACTGAAATAAATGACGTTTGTTCAAACTACTTATATACATTATGCTGAAAAGACACAATTCTTACGTTTTTTTTTTTGGGACAACTTAATTGTTTATGTTCAATCCGCTTACATTTTTAAAAAGTAATGTTAACTAATTATTTCATGTTGTTCATTCATTCATTCATTTTCTTGTCGGCTTAGTCCCTTTATTAATCTGGGGTCGCCACAGCGGAATGAACCGCCAACTTATCCAGCCGCAACCCATCTCTGGGAAACATCCACACACACATTCACACACACACTCATACACTACGGACAATTTAGCCTACCCAATTCACCTGTACCGCATGTCTTTGGACTGTGGGGGAAACCGGAGCACCCGGAGGAAAACCACACGAAGGCAGGGAGAACATGCAAACTCCACACAGAAACGCCAACTGAGCAGAGGCTTGAACCAGCGACCTTCTTGCTGTGAGGCGACAGCACTACCTACTGCGCCACGGCCTCGCCTCTTTCATGTTGTCCCAGAACAAATCGATTGTATGATACACAATATTTTTTTAACAAAAAACTGAAACGTGTTAAATAATTTTGGCTCAAATCAAGTCTTAATTAAATGTTTGCAATTACTGTGTAAAAATAGCACTTATGAAAAAACAATATATTTTTAGAGTGCAGTTCCCAGCAAGCAATAGCCATCATTTCACCGGCTAGGTGACCGGATCTAGTCCGGCTACATGTAACCCAATTTTAACCCGAATAACCTTAAATTTGTTGTTTTTTTGCTAAATAAAGTTTATGATATGTATGATACTCCATCATGTAAGAAAAGTCAATAACGTTTATGAGGTTCCTGTAATAGACATAGTTTTAGTTAAGTATAGACCCAATCTAGTCTGGCTATGTGTAACCCATCTCTAGCCCCAAAAAACCCTAAATTTGCTTACCTGTCTTTTTTTGGCAAAATGCCTTGTGATATGTATGATATTCCTTCAAGTAAGGAAATTCAATCGCATATAAGGAGTTAGGGCTTTTAAAAAAATACATATGTTATTTTCATAGCCTGAGCGTAGCCTTGAGTTGTTGTGATATGTGTTGTGCAGGTGTTGTAATACGTGATCTGCCACTTTGAGGAAGAATCAGCTCTTCTCCCTCCTGTAGTGTTGTCTTACGCCGGGCTCACACTGCAAGATAATTGTGCCTATTTTGAGCCCAATTTCCCCCCTCTGACAATCCTATGTATGTAAAGCCCCAATTATTATGATGGATCTGTTTATTTTTATTTTATTTATTCGTTTATTTCAAGATGGTCAGTAAAAAAAGCTACTGGTGAGGTGAAAATCAAAATTCACTCTTCTCATTTTTGTTTGTAAATAGTAGTGCTTGTTATGAAAGGCTATAGAGGGCTATCAGTTATTATGGGCGGAGCTATCAGTCATTTATTGCAGGGCTATCAGTCATTTAGGGCGGGATTATCAATAGTTTACTGCAGGGCTATCAGTTCTTTAGGGCGGGGCCATCATTTCTTTTTGGGCGGGGCTATCAGTCATTTAAAGCAGGGCTATCTGTAATTTATGGGTGGAGCTGTCAGCCATGTAGGTTGGAGTTATCCATCTTGTAGGGTGGGGCTTTCTGTCCTTTAGGGCGGGGCTATCAGTAATTTATTGCAGGGCTATCCATCTTTTATGGTGGGGTTTTCAGTAATTTATTGCAGGGCTATCTGTATTTTAGGGTGAAGTGATCAATCACTTAGGGCAGAGCTATCAGTAATTTAGGGCGGGACTATCAGTCCTTTACACTCTCAAAAATAAATATACGCAAGCTGTGGGGTGGTACGTTTTCAAAAGGTACAAATTTGTACCTAAAAATTCCATATTAATACATCAATGATACATATTAGTACCTTAAAAGAAAGTGTTCCTCTTAAAATGTTTAGCTACTAATATACACGTTTGAGGTACCAATATGGACCCTTTAAGTTCAAATGTGTACCTTTAGCACCAAGCTATCAGTCTTTTAGGGCAGGACTATTAGTCATTTAGGGCGGGGCTATTCATCTTTTAGGGTGGGGTTATCAGTCATTTATGGCGAGGTTATCAGTCATTTAGGGCGGGGCTATTCATCTTTTAGGGTGGGGTTATCAGTCATTTATGGCGAGGTTATCAGTCATTTAGGGCGGGGCTATTCATCTTTTAGGGGGGGGTTATCAGTCATTTATGGCGAGGTTATCAGTCATTTAGGGCGGGGCTATTCATCTTTTAGGGTGGGGTTATCAGTCATTTATGGCGAGGTTATCAGTCATTTAGGGCGGGGCTATTCATCTTTTAGGGTGGGGTTATCAGTCATTTATGGCGAGGTTATCAGTCATTTAGGGCGGGGCTATTCATCTTTTAGGGTGGGGTTATCAATCATTTATGGCGAGGTTATCAGTCATTTAGGGCGGGGCTATTCATCTTTTAGGGTGGGGTTATCAGTCATTTATGGCGGGGTTATCAGTCATTTAGGACGGGGCTATTCATCTTTTAGGGTGGGGTTATCAGTCATTAATGGCGGGGTTATCAGTCATTTAGGGCGGGGCTATTCATCTTTTAGGGTGGGGTTATCAGTCATTTATGGCGGGGTTATCAGTCATTTAGGGCGGGGCTATTCATCTTTTAGGGTGGGGTTATCAGTCATTTATGGCGGGGTTTTCAGTCATTTAGGGCGGGGCTATTCATCTTTTAGGGTGTGGTTATCAGTCATTTATGGCGAGGTTATCAGTCATTTAGGACGGGGCTATTCATCTTTTAGGGTGGGGTTATCAGTCATTTATGGCGAGGTTATCAGTCATTTAGGGCGGGGCTATTCATCTTTTAGGGTGGGGTTATCAGTCATTTATGGCGAGGTTATCAGTCATTTAGGGCGGGGCTATTCATCTTTTAGGGTGGGGTTATCAGTCATTTATGGCGAGGTTATCAGTCATTTAGGGCGGGGCTATTCATCTTTTAGGGTGGGGTTATCAATCATTTATGGCGAGGTTATCAGTCATTTAGGGCGGGGCTATTCATCTTTTAGGGTGGGGTTATCAGTCATTTATGGCGGGGTTATCAGTCATTTAGGACGGGGCTATTCATCTTTTAGGGTGGGGTTATCAGTCATTAATGGCGAGGTTATCAGTCATTTAGGGCGGGGCTATTCATCTTTTAGGGTGGGGTTATCAGTCATTTATGGCGGGGTTATCAGTCATTTAGGGCGGGGCTATTCATCTTTTAGGGTGGGGTTATCAGTCATTTATGGCGGGGTTATCAGTCATTTAGGGCGGGGCTATTCATCTTTTAGGGTGTGGTTATCAGTCATTTATGGCGAGGTTATCAGTCATTTAGGGCGGGGCTATTCATCTTTTAGGGTGGGGTTATCAGTCATTTATGGCGGGGTTATCAGTCATTTAGGGCGGGGCTATTCATCTTTTAGGGTGGGGTTATCAGTCATTTATGGCGGGGTTATCAGTCATATAGGGCGGGGCTATTCATCTTTTAGGGTGGGGTCATCAGTCATTTATGGCGGGGTTATCAGTCATTTAGGGCGGGGCTATTCATCTTTTAGAGTGGGGTCATCAGTCATTTATGGCGGGGTTATCAGTCATTTAGGGCGGGGCTATTCATCTTTTAGGGTGGGGTTATCAGTCATTTATGGCGGGGTTATCAGTCATTTAGGGCGGGGTTATTCATCTTTTAGGGTGGGGTTATCAGTCATTTATGGCGGGGTTATCAGTCATTTAGGGCGGGGCTATTAGTCACTTAGGACGAGGCTATAAGTGCGTGTCTCAGTTCTGCTCGTCTTTGCAGGTGGCAGTGGTTTGCACAAATTTGGGACAGTTCTGACGGTAAAATTTAGCTCCTCATTCTCAGCGAGTACAGGCGGTGATTCTAGACAGTTATCCTGCTAATCTGACATGATGAATGTTAGTTCACCCAAAAATGAAAACTGTTAATAATTACTCACCCTCATGTCATTACAATATCCTGAGACCCGTATTGCCCATTGAAAATGCAAGTCTTGGGATGTTAAGGGTGAGTAAATTAATAAAAGAACTTAAAAAAATATTTCCAAAAAAAACAACAACAACATATTAATTGTATATGATAATATTTAAAAAAAAACATAAAATGACTCTATGTTTATTGGGAACATGCTTGTCTCTTTCCCTAAAGCTCAAACATGCACCAACATTTAAACCTTTATTGAAACAGAGAATCAGTGCAGGATTCCTTGAAGGTTCAGAAATAGACAAGCAGTAATTGTTTGTGCCAGTCTGTGCGATCAATATCAGCACACCACATCCAGCCTCAAACATAAGCCTTAAATATCCATTAGGAACTCTCACATTCCATAATGTTTGCTTCAGTTTTATTTAAAAGACATACAGAATATCTCTCTGAACCGACACATGTTAAGAAGATAGGGAAAAAAAGGAAAATTCACACCTTTTTAAAAAAAATCTATTTAGCAATTATCTTGCAATTTTGTCAGCTTAATCACACATTTCTGGATGGATTTTGTGTTTTAAATTAGACAATACTATTTTAAATGTGCTGTTCATTTCATTGATGGTTTTGTTAATTTTAGTTTAGTTTTTATTTTGTGAACACATTTCTATTTAGTTTTCATATATTTAGTTTGGAGTGGGGCGAAGCAGTGGTGCAGTAGGTAGTGCTGTCGGCTTACAGCAAGAAGGTCGCTGGGTCGCTGGTTCGAGCCTCGGCTCAGTTGGGGTTTCTGTGTGGAGTTTGCATGTTCTCCCTGCCTTCGCGTGGGTTTCCTCCGGGTGCTCCAGTTTCCCCCACAGAAGTCCAAAGAGATGCGGTACAGGTGAATTGGGTTGGCTAAATTGTCTGTAGTGTATGATTGTGTGTGTG